GATTTCTAACTTTAAAATCTCCGATTGGCCATTGTGTTCACATGCTCAACAGATATGTCTGTGATTGACTACAATGATCATCATTTCACACTCTTCATCGAGCGCTCACACAGACACACGGACACAGGAGCGTTTTAAAGCCACGTCTATCAGAGGATCCGTCTATGAGCAGATATATTAGGGATCTGCTGACAGACGCGGCTTTCAAACGCTGCCGTGCGTATCTTTGTAAGCACTGAGGAATGTGAAGCGATGATCATTGTAGCTAATTGGATCTTTTGTCACGTACATATGCAGAAAGAGATCCACTCAAGAAAGCAGAACCAGGACTACAAATGATATAGATTTGAATGACTTCAGCATAACAATGATAACTGAGACCATGGCATTGAATAATATTACTTGGACTCAGTATTATTTTTTTTCGTAATATTATTTTTATTCAATTTTCTTGAAACACTTACAAGACTGACACGTACATACCGTGTCTATAACAATACTTACTATGTACAGAAAAGAAAACAAACAAAACAAACAAACAAACAAACAAACAAACAAACACTAGCTTTCTATTTTTTCTATTCTATCTACTTGTTTTTCTTTGTGTGTGTATGTGTGTGTGTATAATATATATATATATATATATATATATATACACCTTGCTACGTGTACTGCGTTAGGCTAACCGAGACTTGTCATTTGCACTTATATATTGTTGCTCATTTGATAGTTTTGTCTGCTTTTATTGTCCTCATTTGTAAGTCGCTTTGGATAAAAGCATCTGCTAAATGACTAAATGTAAATGTAAATGTATATTCAGGATTTATCAATATATATATTCAGATTTTATATCATTTTCTCTCTCGTCAATGTAACTCTATGGGATTTCTTTTGGCTTGTTTAATGTCCACCAGGTGAAAACTGTTAGTCCAATAACTTAACTAAATCTCCTCACATGGACAAACCACAGGTATGGGCAGTATTGATGCCTGCTTTAGCCCTAAGAAGACTCTGGATGAGTTGATGGAGGCTGGAGGCTGTGGGAGTCTACAGAGGTCTGGCATGATGTTTTGCCAGGATCAGAGAGCCCAGGCTGGGCAAGACAACAGCAGGACTAGCGCATGCCAGAGCACAATCGCCTTCCCACAGCGAAGACGAAGTGGGCAGCATCTAAAATCGTGCTTTTCCCCTCAAAAACCTTCGAGAGAGAAAATCTTTGACGATACAAACAGATTCATGGACTGAGCTTTAAGGGACTCAATGTGTTTGTGTGCTTTTATACACCAAACCTTCCACCAGATCCTTTATCTGCAAGCACGTCGGCTTCCTTTTGTTCGAGTATCGGTTCTTTTAGTATGTGTGTGGGTTTGTCTTACTGTTTGTTTGTGTACGTGTTTGCTCGCCTACCTCCATGTAGGAGGTTTTCGGCTTGTCATCTGTCACCTGCCTGTGACAGCCAGCGAAAACAGCAAGGCTCCAACCTGCAGATACAATTACGAGATAGACTCCCATGATTCCCGGTTGAGATAGACGTTTCTGGAGGTCACATGATCAGGAATCGAGAAGAACAATGCAGAAAGGAAAATCCAGCTTTGATTAAATTGACATGCCATCCATTTAACCCATCAGATGAGAACAAATTAATTTCGAGCGATTAATCGACTGTGCGGCGGCAAATGAACTGACTGTCTCATTCGTTTTGATGCGCTGGACGGCTCATCTCTCTTTTTGTCCTTGCACTAGTCTTTGACTCGGAGCAGGTGAGCGGCCCACTGTAACGTACACTGGTTATCCGTGTCCAATCTCTCAGACAGGCTTATGTTTCGCCCTTGGCCACAGCGAGTCCGATCCGCAGCATCTATTATTTACTGCCGGCTCTTTGTCTCTCTCACACTTGATTTGTACTAAAGACTTTCTGCCTGTGATAATGTAGAATAGGCTTGTCAGACATTCATATACTTGGTGACCGTAAAAAAATGCAAACCTGGTTGAGGTTTTGGATTTGTGTAATTAATGAGTTATAAAAGCCTTTCTTTATTGAAAGGTAGTTATTTGTCATATCTAGCTCTGTTTTGTTGAGTAGTTTAATTATGTGCATGTATTCTCTTTTCAGACAAAATCAAAGATCATTACATTTGAGAATATATTATTCAAAACATTCACTATGGAAACTCAGGTAGTCAGGGAGATCTTTCTGTCTGTCTATATTTCTCTCGTTCTGTCTGTTGTTCTGTCTATCATTCTGTCTGTTTGTCTATTGTTCTGTCTTGTCTATCTGTTCTGTCTGTCTGTCTGTTCTTCTGTCTGTCTATCTGTTTTTCTGTGTATCTATTTGTATGTTGTTTTATCTAACAGTTGTTCTATTTGTCTGTCATGTGTTCTGTCTATCATTCTGTCTGTCATTCTGTCTGTGTTGCTCAGTCTATTTATCTGTCTGCTGTTTTGTCCTCAAGTCAATCTATCCTTTGTTCTGTCCATCAATCTCTTTGTCGTTTTTTTTCTGTCTATCTTTTGTTCTGCCTGTCTGTTTACTGTTCTATCTTTCCATCTTTCTGTCTGTCTATCTATCCTTTGTTCTGTCATTTTGTCTGTCTATCTATCCATCCTTTGCTCTATCAATCTTTCTGTTGTTCTGTCTACCTGTCTCTTATTCTGTTCTGTCTCTCAGTCAGTCCTTTGTTCTGTCTGTCGATCTGTCTGTAGCTCTGTCTATCCTTTGTTCTGTCTCTCATTCTGTCTGTCTGTCAATCTGTCTGTCGCTCTGTCTGTCATTCTGTCTGTTGATCCTTTCTTCTGTTGGTCAATCAGTCTGTCGCTCTGTCAGTCAATCTGTCTGTCGTTCTGTCTGTCAGTCCTTTGTTCTGTCTGTTGCTCTGTCAGTCCTTTGTGTTCTGTCTGTCGATCAGTCTGTCGTTCTGTCTGTTGATATGCCTGTCGCTCTGTCAGTCCTTTGTTCTGTCTGCCGCTCTGTCTGTCGTTCTGTCTGTCAGTCCTTTGTTCTGTCTGTTGATCTGTCAGTCCTTTGTTTTGTCTGTCGATCTGTCTGTTGCTCTGCCTGTCGCTTTGTCTGTCATTCTGTCTGTCAGTCCTTTGTTCTGTCGGTCGCTCTGTCAGTCCTTTGTTCTGTCTGTCGATCTGTCTGTCTCTCTGTCAGTCCTTGTTTCTGTCTGTCAATCTGTCTGTCAGTTCTTTGTTCTGTCTGTCGATCTGTTTGCTATTCTGTGTTTATCTATCCTTTGTTTTGTTCATCAGTCTGTCTGTTGTTCTATCTACCTGCCTGTCTATTTTTCCAGGGTTCTATTTGTCTGTTTATCATTCTGTCCATCTTGATCTGTTTTTCTATCTTGAGATTTGATCTGCTCAGCCAGCCCTCTGCAACTGTTTTACCACAACAACAACAAAAATACGCTTGCCTTTAAAAGCTTCACGAAAGCAACCTCACATGTTGTTGTTATTTCACTGCTGTTTACATTCTGTAATAATGCTGGTAAAAATGCTGTGTTCTTGAAAACTGCAGTAATAACTGAACATTTTTGTGCTTAACGTACACCACCCAGATGGTGGAGATGCCTCCATCAGGTTGAGTTCAGTACAAATGTTTTTTGACAGGATATAAAGACATTTGAGAGGCCTGCTTTGAATATTGTAACCTATCAAGCCTTTGAAAGGGTTACTTGGTTCCTATAAACTGAAAAAAGAGTGAAAATGCACTTGCAGTCTTTGATCGTTTGATCATAATTAGTTTTGACATGACCAAAATGTATAATCAATTCACCGTTCTCTCTCTTTTTTTTTGTGTTTCTCCTTTAGGATGCTGGGGGAGCTCTGCTTGACTGCGCTCCAATCTCTCCTGGCTGTGTGTCTGCTCTTCACCCTGGAACATGGTGAATCATTCTCTCCTGAATCTCAGCATTCATCTGCTCTTATCCGTTCAGTCGTGGGAGCGCACTTGTCAGTCACATGCCCTCGTTGACTCAGTAACAACTTTTTCAAATCTCAAAATGTCCAAAACCTGCTGCTGAATTAGTGCAATTTTCACCCACAATAGATGAAACCAGTGCAACCTACACTCCTAAAATGAAGGTTCTTTATTGACATTGATGGTTCCATTAAGAACCTTTAACATCAATGGAACATTTCCATTGCACAAAAGGTTCTTTAGATTATTACAGTGTCTTAAAATGGTTATTTTAAGAACTGTTCACTGAAAGGTTCTTTCGGGAACCCCAAATGGTTCTTCTATGGCAGGGGTAGGCAACGTCGGTCCTGGAGTGCCGATGTCCTGCAGAGTTTAGCTCCAACCCTGAAAAAAACCTCAACTGCCTGTAGCCTTAGTAATCCTGAAGACCTTAATTAGCTTGTTCAGGTGTGTTTGATTAGGGTTAGAGTAGGGCTGGACAATAATTCAATATCAATATGTATCGCGATATAATTTTTTTCAATAACGGTGATATGATTTTTAAACACATTTCCGATATTTCAAAAAACATTTTCGTAAACTGAAAAAAAAAAAAAAAAAAAAAAATCAAAATAAATTGATGTGTGTCGGTTTAGGGAAATACCGGGAAATACCCGTAAATGGCGCATCATGCACGTGAGGTTATCTGACGGAGAGACGCAAAGCGATAAATAGTGTTTATAGTGTAATAGTGTGAAAGAGCTTAAAATTACAATTCTGTCTTCATTTATTCACCTTCATGTTGTTCATTTCTTTTGTCAAACAAAAATGTTTCCCTTTGTCCATACAGTGAAAGTCAATGGGGACCAGATGTTTTGTTTGGACCCAATTGACTTTCATTGGATGCACAAAAAGTTCTCTAAAAATATAACTGTTGTTCTGGCTGTCTGTCATTCTGTCTATCTTTTGTTCTGTCTATAGATCTATCTTTTGTTCTGTCTATAGATCTGTCTGTCTTTTTGTCTGCCTATCAATCTGTCTGTCTTTTTGTCTGTCTATCTGTTGTTCTGCCTGTCTAGCTGTGAAACTCAACGGTGACCTTTTTTTTGTGGACCCCATTGACTTTCAATGGATGCACAAAAAGTTCAAAACACTCTTGTTTTGCATTATTTTGTGTTCCACTGAAAAAAGTAAGTCATACAGGTTTGGAACGAGGTGAGTAAATGATGCCAGAATTTTCATTTTTTGGGGAACCATCCCTTTAAACAGGTTTTCTCTCGTCCTTTCATCTTGTGGTAATTACCGTCGCACACCTTTCCCTGACCAGACACTGATGAGCCTTTTTGGACATCGCTGATAAATCCCCCTCGGCTGGATTCCGCCCTCCGCTGCTTCCATCTGCAGTAAATAGAGAGTGCACGAGGAACACTTTCATCTGCAGAAAGCCTCATTTCCTCACATTGCTACCTAAAGACTTGTCATCACTCACTCTAATGCCTGCAACGGCTCTCAGCGGCGGTGATACGTGCCCACGTGCCGTGAAAAAGGAAGACGCTGACGCATAGCTTGTGCCGACTGAATCCTACTCCGTCAAAAGCCTTTTGTAGATGAAAACGCTTCGCGCTTCACCATGCAAAACCAGGTCCCAAGTCAGAACTTTTGGCAAGGCTGTGTTGAATGCACTGTTTCACAGACCGGCCTCTTCTGATTTCAGACGACACCGGGTTCTTATCGGGCACTTGCAGGGTTGCAGGCCGGGCCATGGAGTCTCTCGGTCACTGACCCGCTGAGAAGGGTCTGGCTGCAGCTGGAGCTTGCACTCTCAGACACTTGCACTTCCGCTAGCGACGTCACTTGCAGTCTTTTTTATTTTTTATTTTGTTCTATTTATTGATTACTTTTTGTTTGAATCTCTCAACATTTTACAACAGTAGCCAGGTGGTGAAGACAAGAAAAAAGAAACTAAATTACGAAGTCACTTGCACTCTCCGATACCTGCGACGTCACTTGCAGTCGACACAAATGGTGCGTGTTGCCAATGGAGACAAGACGCTGTGGTGGTGATTAAACGATTAAAACTAATTTAGTACCGTAACCTACAGGAGCGCCAGCTGCAGCCAGACCCTTTTGGACCCGCTTGCTGCCATCTGCACCAGTTGCTTGGAGTCAGGTCTGGCACTTGAGAACCACACGTGCATTTCTTTTTTAGCTTCAGCTGCGATGAGCGAGACAGGCTGCACATAATCTACATGAAGATTTCTTCGCCCTCTTAGCTTCGCTCTCCATCGAAACCGCTCTCATGGGACACCTGTGGTGTAAATAAAGACACTTTGTCGGCATGAGTGTTACATTTTTTTTTTGCAGAATCCCTACTTTCCTCATCTATCAACCAGGGCAATGTTGCAAGGGTCAACTTTACAAGTGGCTAGCTAGTTTTCAACATTTGTTCTATTTTTCATTTAATTTAACATAAATCTATTTTAGTTTAGTTTAGTTTAGTTTATGAAAAAATATTGTAGTCTAAGTGGTGCATTTTAATATGAAAGTAATAACTACTGAGAAACTGTACCTGAGATTATTCATTTGAAAACATATAAAAAAACATTGTATATTTCATTTTTAATATTAATATAAAATGACATTTAACATTTTATTTATTTATTTATTTGGTGTATTTTCATGCGAAACTATTGAGGAACTAGCTGAGATTAGTCAGGAGAAATACATTAATACAATAAAGCTAAGAATTCAACAATTAGTTTATATTTACTTTTTAACATACATATCATTAATTAAATTTAATTAAATTAAATTTAATTTAATTTAATTTAATTTCATTTCATTTAATTTAAACCCTGAAACCGGGCGACGCAAGCATGAAAGTGGGTAGTTTAGATTGGTTTGGTTTTTTTGTGTTTGAAAGTCGTTTGCTCATACATAATGCAATTAAAAATACTAATACAACAAATTGGAAAATTTGATATTTATTTATTTATTTAGCATTAAAACACAGGGCAAATGTGAACGTTTTTAAAAATGTCTTTATAATTTAATTCAATAAAGATTTGATGATTATTTTTTATTTAGTTAGTTATTTAGTGTTAAACACTTACAAAGGGCAGTGCAAATGGGAACGTTTTTTTTTTTACATTTATTTTTAAATAATTTAATTTGATAAAGATTTATTTATTTATTTACCCTGACACAGTTTGGCTTGTCTTTGTGCTTGTAAGCCACTGAGCCATTTGTCTTTCATGTTTTTTCTCTTAAAATGTGAAATGCCAACATAATCAATGTACTTTATGCCCAAAGGGATTAAATTGTCACAAAAATGAATTTATTGATGCTCAGTATTCAATCAGTCTGCTATTTCCATAAATAATTAGTTTAAACATTACTAGTGCCAACTAATTTTAATGTTACAACACTCAAATATTTAGCCATGCATAAGTCACGCAGCTGCTGCTCCAGTTTATGTGGCCCCAGTTTATGGGACTTGGGTTGAGTTGCATCCCCGTATCTCGCTAAATAATTATGCCATTTACCTAGCAGAGAGCAAATGTAGTCAAGCCTCTGGACTCAGAGTATCTTTATGTATGTGCATGTATTTGAGCAAGAGACAGGAAGGAAGACAGGAGATATTGAGCTCCAGACACCCTGGGCTCGGTTAATATTCATGGCACTGTGAATATGGCGGGAACCTCTGGGGGGTTTCCGGGGGAGAGCATCTCATGCAAGACGCTTTCAGAAAGGGAATGTCATTAGGACGGCCCGCGTGCGTTTGCCACCGTATTAGCACACCTGTTCGCTTTTAATCCAATGATTCCACTTCTCAAGCACGGTTTTGGAGGCGGCCGTGTCCGTGATGGAGAAGGATGAAAGACACCATTGGAAGCCCCACTTAAGAGTGCAAATCAAACAAACAGTCCTTATTCGGTGGAAATGACGCATATGTAGATTTACCCCGGGGCTACTGGCTCCTGCCGCGCATGTTTCCGTGAGTTTGTCACTAACGCTTTGGATATGTGGACACATGATTGTTTCGAGCTCAGTGGGCGCGTGCATTGTGAGCGCTTGTACACAATTAGACACTGTGGGATAGTCTCGGCCAGTGGTTGAGTAACTGAAGGAAAGAGCAGAGGGAAAATACTGACTAACATGGACAATTTGCCAAGTGGTGGACTGTAAAAATGGCCAAGGCACTAAAGAAAAACAGCAGTACTCTGCGGATTCGTTAGCATATTAGCGGTTTGTCGCCGTTGCCATGGCAGCCATTAAAAAGCGTTTCAGGAAGTATAGTAGTTAAAACATTTGCAACCAAATTACAGTAACATCACTGGTCATGTAAAGAAGGTAGAAATTTGTTTATTTGATGGTATTTTGGTTCATTTAGAATCTTTTGCCTGTTTTTCCTGTTTATTGTTTTAAATCCAGCTTACAGCAGTACTCTGCGGATTCGTTATCATATTAGCGGTTTGTCGCCGTTGCCATGGCAACCATTAAAAAGCGTTTCAGGAAGTATAGTAGTTAAAACATTTGCAACCAAATTACAGTAACATCACTGGTCATGTAAAGAAGGTAGAAATTTGTTTATTTGATGGTATTTTGGTTCATTTAGAATCTTTTGCCTGTTTTTCCTGTTTATTGTTTTAAATCCAGCTTTTGTTAGTATTTGTTCCTGTCAGTCATTACCATTACTTACATTTAAAGGGATAGTTCACCCAAAAATGAAAATTTGATGGCCTACCTACCTACGGTTTATTGTTATCCTAAGGTTATGATAATAATAATAATAATAATAATAAATGTTAATAATAAATTTTAGATTCATTAATTTATTATTAATTCATTTAATTGTATTTACTGTTCAATAATAATAACTATTAATAATAATAATAATAATAATAAATACAAATAAACAAATTAATATAATTTAATAATATGAACCACTGCTCACACTCTTCACTAAAGAGAGATTGTGATACA